CTCAGGGAGCGTTTCCCGCCCAGGCGGGGGCGGTCCCGCCCCGCCGGTCCCCTCAGCCACGGAGCGGGAACTCTTCAGCCCACGCAGACACAGATCTCTGCTTATTTCTTTATTTTACTGTAATAAAAGTGCTTTATCTCACCCTGCTGGCCGTTCTCCGTCTTATCCTCTTCCCTGTCCCACTGGGAAAGAGAGTGACAGAGGGACAGAGTGGGCACCTGGCACCCAGCCAGGGTCGACCCACTACAGTCATTTTGGCACCTGAATGTGTGGCGATATAAAGTTGGTGAAATGGACTATAGCAGGAACCTCGAGGGGCCGGGCTGGAACAGCAGAGGAGTGCAGGCCTGGAGTGGCAAACAGTTTAGCAATGAGCCCGAAGCTGTGGCAGGAGCAGCATGGGGCTGGGCAGACCCAGAGATGTGGAGCTAAAGGTGGAATAAAAATCCGGATCAGCAGCAGAAACAGCAGGGGCTGGGCAGGCCTGGAAGGAGAAAGAAGGTGGAGGGGGGGATTGTTTCGGGTGTCCCCTGGCTGTCACCTGTGTAATACCTTGGCAACAGCAGCAGCTGCTGGGCTCCCGCAAGCAGCCATGAGACGCTCCCTTTCAAAGGTGGTTAGGGTCCCAGTTTTCCCTGAGCACCCAAGCAGATGGTGAGGATCCCTCCCAGAGTGATCGGGTATTGAAAGGACCCAGTTACATGGCTACACTTGTGAGCAGAGGCTCACCCACAGTAAACAGACACAGTGATGGAAAAGTTGCGCAATAGCAGTGGTTCCTCGGGGCAGTCCAATGCCAAAACCTCAACCATTTGCCCTTTGAGCCGTGTCCCCCTGCCAAGAGACAGCCACAACCCCACCACCTGTCCCTCCTCCCCCAGGCATGACTCCCAAATGCTCCCAAGAGACAGCCACAACCCCACCACCTGTCCCTCCTCCCCCAGGCATGACTCCCAAATGCTCCTTTTCCTTGGCTGACTCCTTAGTGTGGGATGTAAGAGGTCTCAGCCACGTCTTGTTTCTTTATGACTTGTATTTTGCCCCTGGACAACCTCTCCCTTCACAGATTCTTTCTTCCAGATGGGAAAAAATTCCCTAAAGAATCCAAAGCAAAAGAAGCGCTTCTACTTTGCAGTATTGAGATAAAATTAAATGCTAAAAAATAGCTAAGCAAAAGAAGCGCTTCTACTTTGCAGTATTGAGATAAAATTAAATGCTAAAAAATAGCTAAAATACAGAATCCAAAAAAATGTCTTAGCTTATAATGGCACAGCTCCTTATCAAATTCAGGGATCACTAACTTTCTAGCTAAATATGATCTAACTCATTTTCAACATGTAAGCAAGACAGCCAGTCCTGTCCTGCTGGGTCCCAGCAGTGCCTCGCAGCTGTCCTGCATCCACGTCAGGATTCTGGCCAACAGAGGGCTGTCCTGGAGGCAGCTAACTTGAAGTTTGTGCACGTACCGAAAGGTCAAGCCCAGCGGTGTTCCCTCAGGATTTAGAAGCCCAGCGGTGTTCCCTCAGGATTTAGCAGTCCTCAGTGATCTCCCTTGAGGTTGCCCACTCCTTGTGGTACCAGTTGCTTTCCTGTACAATGTTCTACCTGCCCCAAGAGTAAAGAGGGAACTGGAGAAAGAGTTTGCCAGGCTGATCTCCATCTTTTCCCAGCAGGCCTGGTTAAGGGGAGACGTCCAAGCTGAGCTCAAATGTGTAAATGTAACAGCCATGCACTGGGAGGGTCAGTGGGAAGGATGATCCAGGAACCATTGCCCTGGCAGCCTGAGCTTGCTACCATGGAAGGGTTTGGAGCAGATCCTCCTGAGTGCCATCCCATGGCATGTGCAGGGAACCAGGGGGTCTGCTGGAGGGTGGGAAAGCTCTGTGGAGGGATAGGAACAGCTGGGGGTCCTGGTAGGGTGTTGAGGAGTTCTGTGAGTGTGTTTTGGGGCTGTTTGTGTTGGTGAGCGTGTTGGGGAAGGAGCTGTCTGGAAGTGAGAGGTCTAGGCTGGAATTTGAGTCAGTTTGATGGCAGGATCCATGGTTTGGCACAGCTTTGGTTATGGAGGACATAAGGAATATCTGTGACTTTTCCTGTTAGTGGTCCTGGTTCTCATGCAAAAATTAAGAAGGGAGAGCTTTACTTTACTGGCTACTTAGATATCTGTACCAGGGGGAGAATTAGCCTTTTTACAATCTACTCAATTGGACTACTTTTGTAATACTGAGTGGATTTTCATTCCTTGAGAGCTTTAATCCTTCAGAGAATTAGGATATTATCATCCCTCCATAGAAAACCAAAGGTTTGCAAACCAAAGAATGGTAGTTTTTTTAGCCTCTCTGGAGTGTTATATTTTGTAAAGTGACTCTCAATGGATGACGTTAAGACAAAGGACTTGCTGCTTTGAGATGGGAAGCTGACTTGCAAATCTTTCACATTCTCCGGCCATTCCAATTAATTGGTGAAGTCTGCAACATTTTGGAAGTACTGGAATTGAGCAGTGGGGAAGCTCTCATGAATTGAGGATTCTTAAATGCCAGATCCTTCTGTGCCTTCCCCACAAAGAGGTTTTATAGCTGCAGGAAATGAGATCAATGGGAAAATAATTCCCACATGTAATTAATCTGACCAAGACTACACGTTGCCAGCAGTTGCTCCAGGGGCTCCTGCCAACAGCCCCTGCAGGAAGGAGCCCAGCCCCCAATGCACGTGGGCTTTGGCTGCCCTCTGGCATAGAAGCCCCCCAGGGGCACAGGTCTCTGGGGCAGGAGAAGGGCACCAGCACTGCCAGGGCTCGGCTGGGATGGCAGGTCTGCCTCGGTGGGCACTCTGCCACACCTGCTGATTTCAGTGCTGCCAGGACCCTGTGCAGATTCTGTGCAAGGCCCTGTGCCCTTCCTGCTGTGGCTGCGTTGGCAGCCCTGGGGGCTCCTTCTGCTGCCCGGAGCCTGCAGAGCAGGACAGCATTTGCTGATGGCTTGAGCTGTTCCTAAAGATCCTGTTGGGCTGTCTTAGACACTTTGGGCAAGGGATTCCTTCCGAGCTGGGCCACTCTGGGGGGGATGGGGGCAGAACCAGGGCAGGTGACAGTGTGTGCAAGGGCCCTTTGTGACACATGGTCACCATGGGATGGAAAGGGACAGGGTGTCAAAGGGCCCTTTGTGACACGTGGTGAATTAGGAGGTGGCGGTGACAGGATGTTGTGGTTTTAAACCAATAACTAAGAAAATTACTTACTTCTTGCTGTGAGATATGGATTAGAACAGGAGCAAAACAGGTATAAAACTTAAAAGAAAAAAAAAGAAAGTTTATTGACAAACCACAATAATAAGAACACCAGAATAAACTTCCAGAAAAACCTTTCCATCCCCTATCTACCCACTATTCCCTTGTTCACATGACAACAGAGACAAAAACTTTGGAACTTTGATGGTTAAAACAGTCCCAATTCTTGCTACAGTCTTTTCACCAGTCTTTGTAGAGAAACAGAAGTTTCTTCCTGTTAATTTATGGAGTTTCTCACAAGAAAACTATTTTTGTTATAGTTTTCCATTGCCCTAATGTTAGCTGCCCAGAGCTGCTATTATTAGAGTTCACTCCTCCCATTTTCACATCACTCTGAAGTGTTTATGGGCCATGAGTCTAGAGATAGCATTTTTAAGGATAAGTTATTCAAAGGCAAAAAAAAAAAAAAGTCTTCTTCATCTGTTTCTGTGAGCTTCACCAGAAAACAGTTTTTTCATTGCCTCTCAAGGCTTCAAATCTCCCAGCACTTCACTATACCATAAATACTCTACTTTTTACTCAAATTTACACTTTGAACACTTTATTTCTCTCTAGATACTGTATCATGAATTAAAGGAGTTCTTTTCAGGACTTCATTGTCCATCTCCATAGTTTTAACAGAAAGATATTTCAGCTTAATTAAAGCATCTTCTTAATTCTCTACCTTTCCTGAAGCTTCTTTTCTATCCTGTCACTGGTAGTTTATAAAGTCTCTTTTCATGTTGATCACTCTCTCTCTCTCTCTCTCTCTCTCTCTGGATAAAAAAGATTAATCCACAAGTCTCATCTGGGTAATGAAAGAGTTAAAATCTTGCCCAGGCTTTTGTAGGTGGTTCGGTGATCTCTGCTGAACAGGAGCTGGAGCCATCTGCGATAGAAAGTTCTTCATAGCTACTCTGGAGAGTGTGGTCGCTGCTCCAGCCTGCTGCAGGTCCAGGGCCTCTCTCCTTCTTCACTTGGCAGTTTCTAGTGAATTTAGTTACAGCAAAACCTGCAGCCAAGCCAGAGATCTGGCCCGGCTCGGCCCGGCCCGGGCCCGAGGAAAACCTTCCCCAGGCCTGCCCCCATCTCCTGGCCGGGGGACGGGGCAGGCTCGACCCCATCCCCGCCTGGCCGCATGGCCTGGGCAGGGACGGGAGGCCTGGGGCTCCGCCACCCTTCACAGCCAGGAAACAAAGAGAACCCAGAGAGCTCTGCTTTTACACTTTAAGGCAGGGTTCACAAGTTGATCCCACTTTTCAATGGCCTAAACTGCTGTCAATTCCCAGCAATGACCGATAATCGGTCAGGAGAAAAGACTCCAGGCAGTTCCCAGCAACTCCAACTCCCTTAAAGGTAAAGTAACTCCATGACACAGGACCATGCCACAGTGCCCAGTTCACGCGACGGGACAGGACACGCCAGAGCGGTGCTGTGAGGAGCCCCCGCACAGCGCACTCGTTTGTGTCTGACCCGGAGCTTTTCCAAGGATTTACTCATACAGGTGACCTCGTGGCAAGACTGCAGGCCTTGGTGGCCCGTGGCTTTCCCGAGGTTTTCTTTTGCAGGTGCCCACCAGGCCAGACTGCGAGACTTGTAACCTGGAGCTTTTCTGAGACATCTCCCATCCTTCCGGCCTCTGTCCTCAAGGTGAGACTGTGGGACTTAGTGAGCACAATCATTTACAAGGAGTCTCCAGTCATTGTGGCAGGAGCCCTTGAGACCAAACTGCAGGACTTGCTGTCCTGTAGGCTTCCTGAGGCTCCTCTGTCACAGGTGCCTTTAAGGCACAAATGAATGACTTGTTGACTCAAGATTTCCCAAGGCATCTCTCTTTAAGGTGCCTTCGAGGCAAGATTGTGTCATGGCAGGCAGATTCCTCAGCCTCTTCAAAGTGTTCAGGGGGAAAAGAAAGAAAGAACCTGGAGCTGCCCCAGCACAACTGCCTGAAGAGCCGGAGCAGTTCCAGCCACTCCAGGATGGTGAGTGGCAGAGCTGGGCCACAGGGCTGATGGCTGCAGCCAGCTAGGCCCTGCCTCACTCCACCACCATCCCATCCCATCCCATCCCATCCCATCCCATCCCATCCCATCCCATCCGCTGTGGACATGCCCATGGACAGGACGGAAGAGGGGCTTGGGCTGACCCCGGCACTGGCTGTGCTCCATACCCTGAGCCATCCCAGGGCTGTCCCTGCCTGGGGAGTGCAGGGCTGAGCTGTGTTCTCTGGCCTCTCCCGCAGCCTCTCAGCTCTGGCTGTTCTTTGCCAGATGCAGCCATGGCCCAGACACAAGAGCAGGACACCGCCCGTGGCCGCTTCCACAGAGCAGCGCAGGTACCTGCAGCCATCCCCACCTGGGCTGGGCCTGCTGTCACTGCTCAGCCCAGCACCGCACTTGGAGCATTCCATGGAACATGCCTCTCTTCCCTGTCCCATGGAACATGCCTCTCTTCCCTGTCCTTCCATCTCCTTGCAGAGGTTCCGGAAGTTTCTGCGCATTCGGCGTAGAAAGAACACCACCACAGCAGCAACTGAGGGCGCAGCTGAGCCTGACTCTGGGCTGGCTGAGCTCCAGGCAGAGCCTGATGTCAGCTCAGATTCAGCTGAGCTCTCAGAAGACTCTGATGCTGCAGTGAATGATGAGAGGGCAAACTCTGACATGGCAGTGAATGAGGACATGGCCATACCAAACGATGACACTGAAGAGACTCAGGGCATTGCAGATGCTGACATCACACCCACTCCTGCTCTGAGTCAGGAACTCATAATGGACAATTTCAAGGACAACTGTGTTTCTTCTGAGCAGTTGGTACCCAGCCTGGGGCCAGAACTGGAGGCCTCCCTGGATCATGTTCCCTCTCAAGCCACATCCACAGGGCCCACTCAGCCTTTGAGGCCAGCAGAGTGTGATGGGATGGTAAGCACTTCTTGGGGAAAGCTGGGGAAGTTGCTGCCTTGGACAGCAGTCCAAGGCTTCCCCATGCCTCCTCCAGGTGCCAACTATTGTAAGGAACATTCATCAGAGTCTCGTGTCCCATGTCACTGTGGATGTCAGGCAGCAAATTGACATTATTAGGCTGGCTGAAGAACACCCTGTTGATGTGGTGCTGACCCTCCTGCGCTGTGCCCCATCATGTGACAGGTACGGGGCCCACGTGCCTTGAGAGCTCAGGGCTCACCAGCCTTTAGGGCCCATCGCCCTGCACAGCCTGTCCAATGGGCTCTGCCCAACAGGCAGAGAGGTCCAGGGGCCTCAGGCCCCTCTGTTTCCTGAGGTTGCTGCCAGTGCTCCTTCCCTGCCCCTCAGGGCACTGGGACTATGTCACCTGGGACCCCACTGCTGCACAGGGCCTGGTGACTGAGACTCCTGACACAGAGCTCTGATTCCACAGAGCTGCTGCCATGATGTGGCAAACCATAGGCTCATCAGGACCAACAGTGGAGAAAGTGCTGCCAGCACTGCTCTGTGTGATGGAGAACTGGCCACTTTGCAGCATCTGCACCTCTGATGGAGATGACCAGGACATTTTCCCCCTGACTGTGAGTTTCAGGAGCTGGCCTTTGATCAACCATCGGTTGCTTCTCCAGCAGCTCTCCATCCTCTCCCTGCCTCAGGCACTGGGCTGAAACCTGGGCTAGTGGCAGGCTCAGGGGACACCAGGCCTGCTGCTCCCCCTGTGCCTCCCCTTGGGCCTTGCCCCATGGACACCTCGGCACTGAGCGCTGTCTTTGGGTGCTTCTTTTGCAGGCAACTGTGGTGCTCTGGGTGATTATCCAAGTGCCTGAGTGCCACGAGGCGATGATCCTTTATTTTGTCCGCCTGTTTGTGGCTCTGCTGTTCCATGTTGTCATCACCACCCAGCAGATGCCACCAGTGGAAGCTGACAGCATCTGGAGAGCATGCCGGGAGCAACACCGCCTTCCCAGCAACCCCAACAGGTGCCAGTCCTCCTGTCCTTCCCATGCCCTTGTGGCTGGCACCAGTGCAACCAGTGTGACCTGGGCTTTGCTCTGCACACAGGTTTGCAGTGTGGACCGTGAAGGCTCTGCTCTGCCGACTACGGTGTGACAACGAGTTGATGGCTATGGAGCGCAAGCATGGCTGGGACACACTGCTCTGTGCTGACACCCAGCACTATGCTGTGGGTCTGCTGGCCAGGTCAGACACCCTTCTCCCCACTGCCTCTGAAATTTGTGCCCTGTGCCATCCCTCATAGTCTCCGTGGTCCTGGCCAGAGGGCCTTGTCACTCAGCGATGGCCGAGCAGACTGGAAAAAGCTGAGAGAGGAGGGTGCTCAGAAGGAGCCACCTCCCAAAGTGCTTCCAGTCCTCCAGGGATGCTGGGGAAAGGCTGGACCTCTGTGAGTCATTCCTGGGAGAGGTTTGCCTTCCCCACCTCAGGGTCTTGGTGCTGTTTTCCCCCTGACAGGGAGATGCGCCATGTCTTGATCCCCTTCTGTTCCCACATTGCGCTTCAGCTGCTCAAGTCACTCAGAAGGGATGAGCCATGCTGTGATCTGTCCTTCCTGGCATTCCTTGTGGAGGTGAGCCTGATGGCCAGCACTACCTCGCTGAGCTGCCTGCCAGCCCTGTCCCCTTGCATAGCCACAGCTGCCTGGGACAATCTGCCTGGGCCCAGCCCTGTGCACTTCCAGGCTCCTGCCGGCCGGCTCCCCTCTCACTGCCCTGTGCCTTTCAGGTCCTGGATTGCCTGGACTTGCGTGAATGTAGTGACAGTGTCCTGGAGATCATGTCAAGGCACCTGCAGAGCAAGTGCAGGCAGAGGCGTCGCCTGGCGCTCAGAGGCCTCGTGGTGCTCAGCAAGTATCCCTTGATGGTGAGAATGGGGCAGCAGCTGAAGCTGTGCTGGGGAAAGAAGTCCCTTGGTGTGGCTGGGCTTCAGGAGCTCAGGCAGCTGCTCCCAGCTCTCCTGCCTCACCTGCCTGAGTGCTTTGGGACAGGCCTTTGGCTTCTGGGCCCGGCAGCAGCAGGGTGGGGTTGCAGTGCCAGGGAAGTGTTGGTGGTGAAGCTGTTTGTGGCTTCCCAGCACAGCCTTGTGTTCCACACAGGCCATAAGAATGTGCAGCCTGTCTCAAAGCCTTCAGGAGCTGCTGGGTGACGCAGATGGAGATGTTGTTGGCATGGCCCTCTGTGTATTCATTAATATGCTCAACAATAAAGACATCCTGATGTCCAGTACCACTGCCCCAAAGCTGGCTGAGGCACTCCTGCTGCTCTTTGACCATGTAAGTGTCTGTACCCATCCATGGGCATTGGCTGCTGTCCAGAAACTTTGTGTCTTACAGATTTTTGGGCCTTTGCCCAGGTAAGCCTGGAGTAATTGGCATTAAGGTCTTTTTCTCTTCTTTTCCTCCAGGACCACAGCCATGTGCAGCTGCTCTCCCTTGACCTCTTCTTCAAGGCAATGGATTTGGTAGTGGATGAGGGAAAAAAGCCCCTGAAGAAGGTTTGGAAACATGCTATTACATTCTAAAAATGCATGTCATTCAAAACTCTAGCGTAACCTCACTGTGGTAGTGCATATTTCTGGGAGTTACTGTGTTTCTCTGTGACGTGTTTTTCCCCTCCCCTCCCTTATCCCTGAAACGTTACCCCATTGGTTGGCGCTATATGTCCCCCCGCCCCTCTCCCGAGGTTTGAAAGAGTCCGGGAAAGAGTAACCCGGCCTCTTCTCTCTCTGGCAGCTAGCCAGAATAAACATCTTCTGATCCCCTGGAGGGAGAAGCAGCACCTTTTGGTCTTTTCTCGGTCTCGAGGAGCCTCTCTGACCCCTCCATTCGACAGAGCTAGCGTGGATTTACTTCGGGGGGCAAAGGGAAGGTCTCCTCAGGTGGCGCCCATCGTGTGGGGCTTTAAAACCCCTCTGGACGGCTGGAAAACACCCCACGGGTGTTTTAACAAGCCTAGGGATAGCCATCTACCTCGCAGTTTTTCTGACGAGGGTCGAGTTGGTAGCTCGCGGACTACACGAGTCAACTCGGACTGGGACTTTTTTCTTTTCTTCGAACACCGCGCATCCTTCAGGAAACAGGTACTGGGGGGGTCGCGGGGGGTGTGAGAAATCTGGCAGTTGTTATAGGTGTTTTTGCGGGGCACGGTGGTGGTAGTGCTGCTGGCAAAGCCTCTCCCTGGTATCGGGACCAGAGGAGTCCACGTGGAGTGGGGGGGGAGTGCACCGGCAGCAGGTCCTGGGCTCCGCGGTGGTTTTTAAACCCTGACTGCAGTTTGGATCTTTTCTGCTTTTTCGGAGATAAAAAAAGGGTTAGACCAACCTGTGTAGTAAAGCCTTAAGATTAGCCATGGGTACTCTTTTGTCTACACAGGAAAGGAATAAATATTCCCTTATTAAGAATATTTTAAAAGCTGGAAATATCAATTTCTCAAAAAATAAGCTGAAGAAATTAGTAAAATGGGTTTTTTTGCATTTTCCGGATTTAAATGTTGATTCCCTGCCTGACTGGGAAAAAGTTGGTCAAGCCCTTACTGTGCAAGTTGAATCGGGGGACAGCACAGCTGGTGATTTCCTCCCCCTTTTCCTTTTAATTCGGAAAACCATATTACAGAGGAAGAAGCTTCCGGCTTTCTCCTCCTCTTACCTTCCCTCGGCACCTCCACAGGAACGCTTGTCCCAAGCATTACAAGCAGACAAAAACTGCCTGTACCCTTCCCTCCCCGCAGAAAACCCTGAAAAATATAGCTTTAAATCCTCCCTGCAAGGAGGGGAGAGCTCTGCTGAATTTACTCAAGAACATGTGCAGAGCCAAGATGGCGCCGGCCACGTGTTAGCCGGCCACATGGTGAATCTTCCTGTGTATTCCCTTTCTCCTACCCATAATCCCCCCCAGCCCTGCCTGGCCCCACCCTATGACCCTGTCCCCCGAGGCTGCAACCCTATCCCCTGTTCCTCCAGCCCCTGTCCCGTGGGGAGGGGGGGCGGAGAGGGAGAGAGTTATACCCCTTGCTCCTGCAGAGGGGCAGGGAGAGGGGTGTCCCGGCTCTGCCCCCCGATGGGGGGGTGCCAGCCTCCCGGACCTGACGTGGGGTGGGGGGAGACCCCGAGACCCGGCATGGCGGGGGGGGAGACCCCGAGACCCGACATGGGGGGGGGTGGAACCCTGAAG